ACCATTGCTACTTGGCCTCTCGGAACTTCAGCAACCTCCTCTGCAAAATGGGAATAAAGCTGTCTCACCGAGCTGTTGCAGGGATGAGGTGATTCAATGAAGGCAGAACATCTCTTCAGTGTGTGACAGACACATACCCATGTATGTGTCTGTGGTTATTTTCATTGTCTTTCTATTATTTATTTTCATGCTCTTTATATATTCTCTCAAACAGGGAAGGACATCCCAAATCAAAGGACACGTGCTTGGGCAGGAAGTCTGTGCCAGAGGAGGCCACCCCAGGCTCTCCTCCAAAGCTGGAATTCTGGGACTTCACACAGAGCAACAAGAGCCCTGAGGTGTGGGCAGTTCCCCTGAAGTAGGGACAGAACCCCAGGGGTGTTGAGAACTTGAAGGAAAGTTTTTTAGTAAAAGCAGTTGATATTCATCACCTTGTGCTGTCACCAACTAGGCAACCCATTAAATGATTTATATCACCCTACTCATCCCTCGTAACAACAACAAAAACACTGGCAGATGTCAGTAAGACCATGAGGCAGGTATCCCAAGAATACAAAGAGCAGGAATACAGACGAACCGAGAATATCACAACTCACCATTCCAGGCTGTCATAAAACACACGTTTGAAAGCCACTGTACCGAGGTTCCTTCTCTAACGAATGCCAGCCAGGGCCATCCTACCTCACCGCTTTGGAACTCCTCTAGGATATTTTAAAATTTGTTTCCAGTCTGTTTTCAAAACCTATGTGGCCACTTATTTTAAAACCTATTTTAATAATACACCACAAGATACAAAAAAACATTCTGTGGAAATTACAGTACACGGTCCTGCAATCAGATTATCTGTAGATGACCTGTGATCTGCAATAAGTTTTTTGGTTTTTTTTAGATTTTATTTATTTACTTACTTATCTGACACAGAGAGAGAGAGCAAGCGAGCACACAAGCAAGGGGAGCAGCAGGCAGAGGGAGAGGGAGAAGCAGGCTCCCCGCTGAACAGGAAGCCCAATGTGGACTCGATCCTAGGACTCTGGGATCATGACCTGAGCTGAAGGCAGTTGCCTAACCAACTGAGCCACCTAGGCTCAAACAAGTTTTTTATAGCTCTACCTCAGTTTCCTTATCTGTAAGCTGAGAATAATAATCATACCTACCCCTCTTAGTGTTACTGTGAGGATTAAGTTAGCTAATACAAGTAAAACCCTTGACATATTGCCAGGCAGATATAGTAAAAGCTCATTAAAAATGAGCTATTTTTATATTCTATTTCTCACTCACTATATACAAATATGACTCATTAACTGCTCCTCCATTTCCTCTTTAGTGAAACAATTCAATGAAAACATTTTTGAGGTTGGTTAAGAAATAGTAAATTATTAGAAAATGTGTGGCTAAATAGTCAGGCTAAAGGACCAAACTGGGTAAAATCAAAAAGATCATCAAGGGATGCCTGGGTGACGCAGCTGCTTCAACGTCAAACTCTTGGTTTCGGCTCAGATTGTGATCTCAGGGTGGTGAGATATAGCCCTGGGTTGGGCTCTACGCTTGGAGTTGGCTTGTGACTCTCCCTCCTGGCCCCTCCCCCACTTACGAGCAATGCCCACTCTCTCCCTCTCTCAAATAAATAAATAAATCCCTTAAAAAAAAAAAAAAAGATAATCAAGTGTAAGTGAGGAAATACTTATTTTCTCATTTGGGAGAGTAAAATGGTACAACCACATTAGAATTCATTGCCAGTATTTACTAAGCCAAGCAACACCACCCCTCAGTATACAACAACACAAATGTCCACTGGAAGACATGCACTAACATCTTCACGCCAGCGCTATTCCTACTACCAAAGCACTGGAAACCGCCCACACACCCACCAACAGTATCGGGTGTAGTCACAAGAGGAGTACTGAGAATGACTGACTTACAACCAACTCTACACTACAAGAAGGCTGAGTTCCAGAAATACAATGTAAAGTGAAAGAAGCCAGACACAAAAAAGCATATACTGTAGGATTTCGGTTATAAAAAGGCTGGACTGGACACTGATGCAACACTCAGGTCACCCCCAGGAAGAGAGGACTATTCCCCAACATCTGGGAGAGCAGCCAGGACAGACTCCGCAGCTGTCAGCCCTCTTCAGAAACTGCCTCCGCAAAGAACAGTAGTGCCCAAGGGCATACCTCTTCCCTAGGCAGCCAAAAACTGGTCGACATGGTGGCATAAATGCCTATCCCTTGTGCAACATGGAACATCTCTGAGGGCCTTTCCAGAACTCCACACAGGGTCAACTGAGGCTTCCACTAAGACTGAATCACAGCTTCACTCTTCCCTCTGCCCAATCCCACTCCCTTCCTCTCTTTCCTCTTCCCCCAGGCGTTGATCCCAAAGGCTCTCTCTAATAAATTTCCTGAATGCTAATCTTGCTCTTAAGAATCTGCTTCCCAGAGTATCCAAGCTTTGGCACAAGCAAATTGGATCCCTGAAGTGAGAAGTGAGGATACCAGGGACCCCTGGGGGAGAACAGGGAGGGAACAGAAGGACAGGAAGGACAGCTTCTAGGATGCACAGAAGAGTGTTTTTTGAAAGTCTGGATGCCGGTTGTATGTTCAAACGGAATAAATCCACTTAACCATACATCTATGAAATGTGTACTACTTCCCGTGTATACTATACTTAAATATGAAGTGAAAAGAGTAAGACAAACTAGAGAACGCCCTGGAAAAAACGTTTCAAGAACATTTAGTCCGACCTCCTTTTGTACCAGTTAAATAACCATTTATTGTGCATTTAAACATTACCCACAGAAGCCTACAGAAGCCTAGCCTGAGATTACAAGCCAGTTGGGGGCCAACCAGAACCATGCCTGGACTCCTCGACAGCAGGCCTGGACGGTTTTCACCAGACCATGCCTGGTGGGAGGCAACAGGCATCAGCTCTGAGGCCAAGGAAGGGCCTGCGGCAGCCAGCTCACTGACTAGTCAGCTGTGCTTGCAAAAACACAGCTCTCAAGGAAGCCAAAGTGCTAGCAGCACCCCAAAGGTGCCTTTATGTGCCTTCACCTTTGAATCTTTAAGAAACACACTTGCTTCTGAAATCAGAAGACGTTAAGAATCTTTCCAATGTAGACAAAACAGCATGCTTTAATCCTTTGTGGTGTTCTCTCAGGGAAGAATAATCTGTTTTGGCATAGCTGGCTATTTTTATTATTTATCTACCCTCTCATCCTCACCTTTCTAAAAGCAATTTTTAGTTTAGCTAAAATGTCATTTCTCTTCCCCTGTTAGACAAGGAATAAGAAATGAAACACAAAGAGGACAAAATATCTCCTGAATTGGGAAGGTAAATCCCTTTACTTTCCTAGGTGGCCTATTCCTGACCCTAAACTTGCTTGAGTCACTCCCACTTTAAAAATCAATCATCCTAGGGGCGCCTGGGTGGCTCAGTTGGTTAAGCAACTGCCTTCAGCTCAGGTCATGATCCTGGAGTCCCCGGATCGAGTCCCGCATCAGGCTCCCATCTCCACGGGGAGTCTGCTTCTCCCTCTGACCTTCTCCTCGCTCATGCTCTCTCTCACTGTCTCTCTCTCTCTCAAATAAATAAATAAAATGTTTAAAAAAATTAAAAAAAAATCAATCATCCTATAATTCTAGAATTCTGGAAAATTGGATTCCTTAAAATGATGATGATGAAGACAGCACCAAAGGAAAGGATGAAAAACTACTGGAACAAAATTTGTCACTTTATTTCCAAAATAGTGTAGTTCCTCTTTGAGACAGAAGTTGTGCTGATCTCTAGGAAACTTAAAGGTTGATCCACTGCCTAATTCTCATGAACCCCTGATACCACAAAGAGGGAAAAAAGCGTATGAGGAGTTCTACCTACTGAAGTTCCAATGCATTATTTAGATTGGCTCTAAAAGAAGAGTCGAATACATTTTAATCTTTCAGGGTTTTTTTTTTAATTATTTTTTCTTGGTTTTTCATAGATAAAGAGACGTTAAGAGCATACAGACCCACAACAAAGCTCTAACAAAAATTTTTACACCTGAGCCTAAACTTCCTAAACTTCCTAAGTTTGCCTAGACTTCCTAAACTTCTTTGGAGGAAGACATCACAGAATATATATAAATTATTCAGATTCTTTTTAAGAGGGTTTGCCTCCCAAATAAATCTAAATATATCCATCTCCCTTCAAGGGCTGAAAAAGAATGTAATAATAATGTGCATTCTATTCTTCATCTTGAAAATTCAACAAAAAGTTGCCTAGGAATTTCCCACACACTGTTTTTTAGTTCATTCATTGACTTATTCATCCATTCAACAAGTATTTTTTGAAGGCCCATTCTGCCTTGAAGCAAAAATCTGATTAAGTCCTCTTCTGTATGTATGGTCATAAAAAGATCTCAAAACATTCTTTTTGACCACTAAACAGAACTCCAGAACATTCTCCGCACCCTGTATCAAGAAGTAATTTTACTTCCTGACTTTACTAAGTACCAGTCATTCACAGAAGAACTTCTGTGGCTTTTGAATGATTTTTAAAGGGCACCATGTTTACGTTCCCGCTAAAATACCTTTGGCCCTTCCAAAATTCAGAAGCAGCAAAAATCAGACCAAATCTTTCTCTGGGGAAGAATGACAGTACTTTGTTAAAGGGCTGAGATAGGTATTATCAGGGCGCTGCCTGTAATTGGAGCAACGGTTTTAAGAGGAGCCCCTGTCACATCTTCCCAAGTTCTCCCAGGCCTCTGTCTGCAGGGAACATTCTCTCCTTCACAAAACTGTGACCAAAAACCACAATAACAGCAAGAGAAGCCTCTCCATGTTTTCCCATTTCCAAGAAGACAGCTTTTGGGGGGTGACCTCTAAAGAGCATTCCCAACAGGAGCGTGAGAGTACTCTGGGCATGCTGAATGTCTGGAACAGACCGACAGATCAGAGGGAAACCAGCACTAGCTGTGTCAGTAAGTGCTTTCCACTGCACTGAAAATCTTAAAAGCAGTCTACCTCAGTTGGCCCAGCATACATCATGGGAGATGGGAAGATGGCCACCACTGTCGTTTCAGGATTCAGGATTCCTTCCTCCAGCACTGCGGCATGCTGCTTCATTCGCCACATCAAAGGAACGTCATCATCCTTTGTCCAGCCACCAAGAGGGTGAAGGAGAAGGACAGGGCGCCGATAGCCTCTCTCTAGAAGTTGCTTATGGGTATCCTGCATTAACAGAGCATGTCCATTGTGCACTGGGTTGCGTAATTGAAAGGCAAACACAGCATCTGAAAAGAGAATTTCCAGAGTCAGGAAGAGTCCATTTCTCATGGCTTATCTTCCAAAGGACAAGCAATTCTTCCCGAAGTTTGATGCCTAGGATTAAGCAAACATATAAGCCCCCGATCAGGTAAAAAAAAAAAAAAACAACATGTCCTGCTTTGACCTTTTACTCCAAGGCCAACTTGACCTATCTCCTTCCAGGTTTTTACTTTACAAATGAAATGCCTGAGGATGTGTAAGAGGGCGGTCATGGATTTGCAACAAGTGCTTTCTGCCTTCCTGGCAAGCAAGAATAACCACCACACTTTCTGGTCCCAACTTCCTGGTTTAAGTGCTTACAGTGGGTGCAATTTCCTGGCCTGTGCCTTAATTACGCACCAGGTCAATCCCTCCATTGGACCTAAGACGCTGCTTTACTAAAGGAAGGCAGAAAGGTAGAGATATTTACAGTTTAAAAAATTTACTTACTATCCAAATATGCTCATTTATACAGATTACTCTGACTGGAACCCGACTTTTTTTGTGATGCCAGGTCTAGATTGTGGGTTACAGTTTAGCAACAACACTATGCCCTACAAGAGTCACTGCTATTACCCAAACAATGAAAACTGCTAGATGAATTAAGCTGGTTGACTCTGTATCTTCTGCTTACAACCCTGACTCTACTCCTGCAAGGGGCTGCCATCAAGAGACATTCTCAGAAAGCATGGTTCTTTGGGGTCATAGAGAAATTTCACAGAACAGAATGATAGCCCAGTTAGAAGAGCTCTGTATTTTATTGCCCTGCCAACATCTGGTATAGCATCACGCCATGATCATCCCAGCCCGACTCAGGGAGAAGAATATCTTCCCCTCTCCTAACAATTTTAAACCAAAGAGTATAAACATCTTCCCCCTTAAGTTCTCAATTCTGACCCTCTTCTATCATGATGACAGAAGGCCACAGGAGGAAATCCGTGGTACCTTACTTGACCAGGGGCCTGGGTGTTTGTTGAGGGGTTGGGGGAGAGCCACATCTGTGAGAGGCCACGGTAAGGCTTGAGACGAGAACCAAACCAGGCCCTGACTTGTGCCTCCTTTAAAGGCTGAATAGCCAAACAAAAGGCTTAGGTCGATAAAGTCGAGTAGCACTGAGAAAGGGTCTGTGCTATGTGTTGTGCACTCGCCTACGTGACATCCCACATGTTCGCTAGTCAGATAGAGACGATTTGGCCGGGGTCAGAAATTCTTGGCTGGTCCTTGCTGTCCTTGCATGGGCTATAGACTACACCACTGTAAGACTGTGCTGTGCTTACACAAACTATGTCTTGAGTGGCCTTGAAGTCAGTACATCGGGCGCTAGAAGGTCTGCTATTGATGTCTAGGAAATAGATAATGGGAAAGCTTGAAGGATTTTCTGTGCATGTTGCAAGCTCTTTAGTAATCAGCTAAAAATAGATACTTTCTTATGATTGTTTCTGTTAGCTATATAATGCCTTGCTGCCTTGAATAAACTTGGCACTATTGGACATCCTCCTTGGTGCTCCTCCTGCCCCCATCTCTTTGTCTCTTAATTTCTTTTCAGCATCCTCTTACCCTCTCGACCCTGGTCGATTTGTCGCACCGGCCGCAACACACATCCTGTGATATTCCAAGATTTACAGCATTACTGTTATGCTCTGAAGTTCTCAAGTTACCTTTTATACATGAACAAGGCTAGTTTTCACCTAAGAAATAGCTGATATGAGGTACAAAGAACAAGAAAGTCCTGATACAAATATATGAGCATTTAAAATTATTCTGCTTTAGGGCACCTGGGTGCTCAGTCATTAAGCATCTGTCTTCAGCTCAGGTAATGATCCCGGGGTCCTGGGATCAAGCCCAGCATTGGGCTCCATGCTCAGCAGGAAGCCTGCTTCTCCCTCTCCCACTCCCCCTGCTTGTGTTCCCTTTCTTGCTGTCTCTCTCTCTGTCAAATAAATAAATAAAATCTTAAAAAAATGAAATAAAAAAGTAAAATTATTCTGCTTTAAGGAGATGGGAAGAGGAGTACAAACCTGAAAGTTTTTCTACCCTGAATCCACTTCAAATATTGTTTTATATATAGATATAAAAAGATCCCCAAACAGGGGGTGCCTGGGTAGCTCACCTGGTTGGGCATCACACTCTTAATCTCAGCTCAGGTCTTGATCTCAGGGTCATGAGTTCAAGCCCCATGCTGGGCTCCTACTTAAAAAAAAAAAAAAAAAATCTCCAAACATCCCTTTTGATCTTTAAGTAAAGCTCCAGAGCTCCCCTATCCCTGGGAACAAGAGGCAATTTTACTTCCTGACTCTACTACATATACTCCAGTCCCTCACGAAAGAACAAACGAAGAGGGTATAATTCACCATTTAGGAGATTACTGCCCGACCTTACTCACCCACTCTGATTCTGGCCTAAGTCATGTCACTCACTCAGCTCTCTCCTCTCTTCCCTTCACTTAATGCTGCCCATTCTTTATAAACAGCCTGTTCACAGGCACCTCGGTGGCTCAGTTGGCTAACGGCTGCCTTCAGCTTGGGTCGTGATCCCAGTGCTCTGGGATCAAGCCCCAAGTCAGGCTCCCTGCTCATCAGGGAGCCTGCTTCTCCCCCTATCTTCCCCACCACCCCCGTTTTCGCTCTCCCTCTCTCTTTCACAAAAATACATGAAATAAACAGCCTGCTCACAACAGACCCACTTACTGAGCATCAGTGCATCCTCCTCCTAGGCCAGTGTGAGTCACTGCACGGATGGTGGGTGGGGGACAGACTCCAGACTCCCACTGGGGAGAGAGGACTCTGGCCCAGCTCAAGCCTGCAAGCCCCAGGGCCCCAGCAGACCGCCTGTTTGGGAGACTCCTTACACACAGTGAGATATAGCAAACACATAAACATAGTGAGGATAAGGGGAGCCAGGGTTTTCAACTGCAGGAGATGGAAGGCATAAACACAGATAGGAGAAAGGTTAGAATAGACTATGTGCTACTGGATTAAGACTGAAAGTATCAGTGTGAGCTCAGGGGTTTCAGCCAGAGAGAGGAGACAGGAACAAATATAAACATGTGTGTGCTGGTATCTAAGTGCCTGTGTGCCTACACATAATGCACATTTCTCAGCTCACCCACTGAAAGGTCCTATAAGCAACCACTACCCAATGATGATGAGCAACACAAAAGCACCAATTTTACATTCTAAATACCGCTGGCAAAATGGCTGGTTCTAGCGCTAAGGCAAGGAACTCACAACATAAGCTGGAACATCTTGTGTGTCATAAAGAAAGGAAGTGCTTGAAAAATGACGCCCCGGGTGTGGGGCATGTCAAAAGGACAGAGCAACCAGTTTGACCCAATGACTAATCCCAACAAGGACAAGTTAAACACCAACATAAACAATAATAGTAACAAACTGTAACCTTTTGAGTAAAACAGGAATCTGAGTCCATGAAGAATAAAATAAATCAACAAACTAATGGAGAGAAGGGGAAACTCCACCTCTGAGTAGAAGGTCAACTAATTAACATCGGAAGAATGACAATTAGAAAAATCACTATTTGGCCATATTTGTAATGTGCTAAAAAAAAACTGTGGGTAAAAGTCTGATAACAACAGGATATTTATAGTTTCAAAATCTCTCACCCAAAATACTTTTTAGTTAATAAGCACAAAATAACTTGTTAACTTTATAACGGAAAATCCTGGCAAACACAATCTTAAACAAGAGACAAAAGTAAATTTTTTTAAAGAAGTTAACCTTAAAACAAAAGTTCAAGATGAATCAAAATTGTAAGCCACCAGATACAATGCACTGAGAGCTCACAACTGCTTTCGTAGTATCTCTGACAAAAACGTGTAACCCAAATCGAAACATGAGGAAGCAGCAGATAAATCCACACTAACCGACATTCAACAAAGTAAATGTACTCTTAAAAAATGTCAAGGTCATAAAAGACACAATAAAGACTAAATGACCCTTCCAAATTGAAGTAGACTATAAAGAGACATGACTGAGTCCTGAACCAGAAAAGAAAGGTGGGGAAGAAAAAAACCTGATTGCTATTGGTTTTGCTATAATGGACCTTATTAGGACAGTGGCATGATTTGAATGGAGCATAAGGGTTAGATGGTGCTACACCAATGTTATTTTCTGGATGTGGATGAGCATGCTATAGATAGGTAAGAGACCGTTATTTTTAGGAAATGCGTGCGGACTTACTAAGGGGTAATGAGGCATCCCGTCATGTCTACAACTTTTAAAGACAGTGAGAATGAAAAAGCCAATAACGTATAATGTTAGTAACTATAGATTCTGGATAAATATACAGGAGTTCTTGTTCCTATTCTGTATCCTAATTTTTCTGTAAATTTAAAATTATTTCAAAATAAAAAGTTAAAAAACAAAGTGAAAAATTTTGACATGAGACATATGAAGCAAATACAATGCAGGATCCTTATTTAGATCCTGATTCAAACAAATTATTTTAAAAAGTGACTACAGGGGTGGCTGCGTGGCTCAGTCAGTTAAACGCCTGCCTTCAACTCATGTCATGATCCCAGGGTCCTGGGATCAAGCCTCACATCTGGCTCCCTCCTCAGCAGGGAGCCTGCTTCTGAATCCTCTCCTCCCAGCTCCTGTTCTATTTCTGTCTCTCTCTCCCTCTCTCTCAAATAAATAAATAAAATATTTTAAATAAACAAGTTAAATTAAAAAGTGATTACTATGAAATTATCAGAAATTTGAACACTGAGTGGATATTTGATTACATTAAGTGATTATTATTATTATTATTAAGCTGCAAAAGTGGTATCATGGCTTGCCTTTAAGAGATAGGTACTGAAACATGAAATAAAGGGGGTATGAGCTCTGCTTCAGAATCACATGCAGGGGTGAGGTAGGAAGGAGGGCAAAGATAAAACAAGATTAGTCAAGAGCTAATTACCTACTGAAGCTGGGCAAGAAGCACACAGGGATTCAGTATACTATGATACCTACTTACAAGCGTCTAA